ACTGAGGAAATCCAGAGAATCATCAGGTCATACTTTGAAAGCCTATACTCCACAATATTTGAAAATCTAAAGGAAATGGATGACTTTCTGGATAGCTATCACCTGCCAAAATTAAATCAAGAACAGATAAGCAATTTAAATAGACCTATAACTCCTAAGGAAATAGAAGCAGTCATCAAAAGTCTCCCAACCAAAAAAGCCCAGGGCGAGATGGCCTCAGAGCTGAATTCTATCAGAAATTCAAAGAACAGCTTATACCAATTCTTCTCAAAGTATTTCACACAATAGAAGCAGAAAGGTCTTTGCCAAACTCTTTCTATGAGGCTTCAATAACCTTGATACCAAGCCACACAAAGACACAACTAAGAAAGAGAACTTCAAACCAACTTCCCTCATGAACATTGATGCAAAAATACTCAATAAAATACTGGCAAATCAGATCCAAGAACACATCAGAAAACTCATCTACCATGATCAAGTAGGCTTCATTCCAAGGATGGTTCAGCATACAAAAATCCATCAAAGCAATCCACCATATAAACAAGCTGAAAAACAAAAATCACATGATCATCTCACTAGATGCTGAAAAAGCCTTTGACAAAATTCAACACCCCTTCATGATAAAGGTCTTGGAGAGATACAGGATAACAGGAACTTAACATAATAAAAACTATATACAGCAAACTGACAGCCAACATCAAACTAAATGGAGAGAAATTCAACATGGCTCCTCTAAAATCAGGAACAAGACAAGGCTCTCCACTCTCTCCATAACTTTTCAATATTGTCCTTGAAGTTCTAGCTAGACCCATACCACAACAAAAGGAGATCAAGGAGATACAAATTGGAAAGGAAGAGGTCAAACTTTCACTATTTGCAGATAATATGATAGTTTACATAAGTGACTCAAAAAACTCTACTGATAAACTACTACAGTTCTACCAAGGAATACTTTTAATAAAGTGACAGGATACAAGATCAACTCAAGAAAATCAGTAGCCCTACTATACACAGATGATAAAAGGGCGGAGAAAGAAATCAAAGAAACATCGGGATTTACGATAGCCTCAAACAACATCTAATACCTTGTGGTAACTCTAACCAAACAAGTGAAAGACCTGTATCGCAATAACTTTAAGACTTTAAAGAAAGAAATTAAAGAAGATACCAGAAAATGGAAAGATCACCCATGCTTTTGGGTAGGTAGGATCAACATAGCAAAAATGGCAATCCTGCCAAAAGCAATCTACACATTTAATGTAATCCCTATTAAAATACCAGAGCAATTTTTCACTGACCTCGAAAGGACAATTCTCAACTTTATATAGGAAAACAAAAGACCCAGGATATCCAAAACAACCCTGTCCAACAAGGCGCCATCCAGAGGCATCACCAACCCTGACTTCATGTTCTATTACAGAGCTATATTCCTGAAAGCAGCTTGTTATTGGCACAAAAATAGACAGGTAGAACACTGGAATCGAACATCAAGACATTAACCCATAGATGTATGAAAACCTGATCTTTGACAAAGAAGCTAAAATTATACAATGGAAAAAAAGAAAGCATCTTGAACAAATGGTGTTGGCATTACTGGATGCTGACACGTAGAAGACTGCAGAGAGATCCATGTCTATTGCCATGTACAAAACGTAAGTCCAAATGGATCAAAGAATTCAACATAAATCCAGCCACACTGAAACTGTTAGAAGAGAAATTGGGAGGTAACCTTGAACAAATTGGTACAGGAGATAGCTTCTTGAACATGACTCCTGTAGCATAAACACTAAGATCAACAATTAATAAATGGGACCTCCTGACACTGAGAAGCTTCTGTAAGGCAAAGGACACAGTCAGCAAGACAAAAAGGCAACTGACATATTGGGAAAAGATATTCAATAATCCCACATCTGACAGAGGACTGATCTCCAAAATTTACAAACAACTCAAGAAACAAGTCTGAAAACACAAAAGGACCCAGTCGAAAAGTGGGGTACAGTATTAAATAGAGAATTCTCAGTAGAGGAGTCTAAAATGACTGGGAGAAACAAAAGAAAGTGCTCAACATCCCAGCCATCAGGGAAATGCAAATCAAAACAACTCTGAGATATCATCTCATTGCTGTCAGAATAGATAAAATCAAAAACTCCAATGACAGTCTATGCTGGAGAGGATATGGAGAGAGGGGAACACTTTTCCACTGTTGTTGGGAATGCAAACTCATACACCCACTTTGGAAATAAGTATGGAGATTCCTCAGGAAAATGGGAATCAGTCTACTACAAGACCCAGCAACTCCACATTTAAGTATATACTCAAAAATAGCACATTCATACAAGAAGGACATCTGTTCCACTATATGCATAGCAGCATTATTTGTAATAGCCATAACCTGGAAGCAACCTAGAAGCCCCTCAACTGAAGAGTGGATAGAGAAAATGTGATACATTTACACAATGGAGTTCTATTCAGCAGAAAAAGCAATGGAATCTTGAAATTTGCAGGCAAATTCAGAAGAAACCATCCTAGGTGAGAGAACCCAGTCACAAAAAGAGAAACATGGTATGTACTCACTCATATATGGATTTTAGACATGAATCAGGGGAGTGGGGAGTGCCAGCATAAAATCCCATTGCCACAGAATCTGCGAAACAGAACCTTCATTCAGTGACTGATGGAAGCAGAGGCAGACACCCACAGCTAAACAGTGAACTGAACTCCTTGAATCCAGTCACAGAAAGGGAGAACTGATGAGCAAAAGAGTTAAGACTGGGTTGGTTTAGCCCACAGAAACAGTTGAGCTGAACAAGGGGGAGCTCTTGGACCCCAGATTGATGGCTGTGTGGAAAGCATGGACTGACCCAGGCCCCCCTGAATGTGGTTGTCAGTGAGGAGGCCTAGATAATCTATGGGGCCTTGCATAGTATTTATCCCTGGTGTACAAATGGACTTTGAGCACCCATCCCACGTGAGGGATGCTGTCTCAGCCTGGACTCTGTTGGAGGGCCTAGGCCCTGACCTGGATGTAATAACAGATTCTGGAGATACACTATGGAGGGCCTCACCCTCCCTGGGAATCAGAGTGGAGATTGGGTTTGGGTCTGGGGAGCCTAGTAGGGAAGGGCAGGTGAGGACGGGAGGGAGAGGGAGCTGGGATTGACATGTGAAACAATCTTGTTTCTAACTTAAATTTAAAAAAGGAAAGAGACATAAAATACTTCATGAGCAAGGACAAAGCTAGAAGAGACCATATGCATCATGGTATCTTGTGGCAAGTATTTCAGGAGGTTCATTGTAAAGGATAGAAGCACGAAAAAATTATGAGGTGGACACTTGTGTCCCATAATTATTTGCTAATTGTTCAGATCCAGGGATGGCATTTCCTTTCATTATTTCCAATCTCTTCAATTTTAGCATGGTTACTCTAAAGTTTTTAATATGATAAATATATCCTAAATTATAGAAAGCTTATAAGGTAAATGGCTAGCTATTGGTGAAATTGAAGAAGTTAACAGGAGAAAAAGAGGTAAGGTAAAATATGACATCTGAGAATCAACTTTAAATCTCTGTTGTTAGAGATGTACCATATTTCGAATGACAATGTTATCTTTTCTCCATAGTTCTATATTCTAGAGTTATTTCAAAGTAATTAAATTAATGTAAGACTATGCTTGCTCAATTATTCCTTAAAGTGTTTTTCTTAACCTTCTGTTCATTACTGTAGTTTTAGTAACTAATTCTGATATACATTGGTTGGTGCAATCTCAATATTACTGTATTAGTAATAAATAATTCCTTTCTGTATATCACCAAACTATGTGGTATAAGAATTATTAAATCTAAATTAAAACACTCATGGATAATGAATTATCGTGTCAGGATTTTAATCATAATTCCATTATATTGTCCTTAAATATCCTTTTATTGTTTTTCTTTTGTAGGCTCTTAGCACTGTATTTGGTACCACAGTTCATTCCTTACTTGATTACTTTTTGTTTTCAAATAACTATACACGAAGATGAGGATACAGGACAGGGTAGATTGGTGGGTTGGTAAAATGAATATTCCACAAGCAAAGGAACATGAGAATGACCCTTGTTAACAATATAAAAAGCCTGGTTTGGTAGTCTGTACTTGCAATACCAGCAATGGAGAAGAAACATGCAGGTTACTAAGGCTGGCTGAATAGACAACCTCCCCACTTTAGTGAGTGCTGTGTTAGAGACCAACTTTGTGTCAAAAACCAAGGTAGATAGTGACTTAGGAAAGATAACCAAGGATAATTCTTGGCCTCTACATAACCCCCGCCACACACACACACACACAGCCCCATGCACATACACACACTCATATCAATACAGATATATAATAACTAGATAAAATATTAAAATGTAAATAATAATTGCATAAGCAAGGTATATGGTTTCTGAGGACCCACTTTAGAATGAATTATGCCCTCCATACAGATATTAACAGGAACACAGGCTTCATGTTCACACTAGTGTACATGCTCCCATGGACTAATAATAACAAACAAAGAAAATAAAAAATACACTTGAGAAAACTGCTCAGTGTGAGAGAAGCTTCTTATACCCATGGTCATGCCAAAGCAATGATGGAAAGGAACATAGGATTACTCAATAAGCAGGAAAGCAGTTAGGATTTTATAATTTAAATTAACAACATTGAAATATGAAAGCAAAGATGATGTTAAATTTCAGCTATGACCTCTTTCATTGCTATTGAGGAAAAGCTGAAGATTAAAACATTCATAAATAATGTGGAGAAAGGGGGCAAATTTTTAAAATCCCAGAGTGCATTAGAAATATATTTGCACAAGAACAAATATACTTTACCAAAATTAAACCGAAAATCCATGAACACTGTTGACACATCTTGGATAAATAATTGTTTTGAGCCAAATTTTTGTTATTCTATCTTATAACCTGATATCATCATGAGTTACTTATGCATGCCCTTTGTTTAATGCTGTCCTTTAGTCCTGATGTTCTGACTGACCAACTCTGCCAGAAGACACACCATTGAAGACAAGTGCTGAATGAAACCAGAAAAAGTAAGACTTCTGGTGCCTGTATGAGAGGCCCTGGTCCATGAGAGGATCATGGACTTTCATCTCTACCTGTGGATGGTGCTCCTCCTCTCCACATGGTACCCAACTGGACATGCTGTGTACAGTAGCCCTCCTGAAGTAGTGATTCCCTTGAGGATCAATGACACTAGTAGACACGATACTTCCCCAGACAGGCTGTCCTATAGCCTGCATATTGGAGGAGAGAGACACATTATTACCATGAAGCCCACAAAATACTTCATATCCAGAAACTTCCTACTGTTCACCTACACTGACCAAGGTGATCTCTTTGCAGAACAGCCTTTTGTGCAGACTGACTGCTACTACCAGGGCAATGTAGATGGAGACCCAGATTCCATGGTGATTATTAATACCTGTTTGGGGAGTTTGCAAGGCATGCTAGAGATAAATGGCACAGCTTATGAAATCATGCCCAAGAAGTCAACTTCCACATTTGAACACCTTGCTTACAAAATGGACAGTGAGGACTCAGAATCATTTTCTATAAGATGTGGGTTAACAGAAGCGGAAATAGCTCGACAAATTAAGATTCAAGAAAGCAAATACCCCATGCTTATGCAAAGCCAATATGAGAACTGGTGGACCCATCACAAATATCTTGAATATTATGTGGTGATTGATAACCAACGATATGTTTATAGAGCAAGTAATGTCACAGTTTGTATGCAGGAAATGTTGCAAATAGTCAATGGAATAAATGGTTATTATCGTCAGATAGATGTTGAGGTGATTTTAACTACACTGGAAGTTTGGACTCAAAGAAACCATGTCAATGTAACAAGAAATGTAAATAGAGTCCTATCTGATTTCTGCAGTTGGAAGGCAAGAAACATTGACAGACGCGTTAGAAATGATCTTGCACATCTTTATGCCAGGCAAGTATATCCTGGCGTGTTGGGGCTAGCTTATGTAGGTACAATTTGCGAAAGGAATGGCTGTGCAGTGAACAGTTACATGACAAATTCTATAAAAGATATTGCATTCATTGTAGCACATGAGATGGGTCATAATTTGGGTATGTCTCATGATGAAAAATACTGTACTTGTGGGACAAGTAAGTGCATAATGGCCCCATACAAATCTGATTCCCTTAAATTCAGTAACTGCAGTTATGGTTATCTGTATGGAAAGATTACCAGAAAATCTTGTTTACACAATTATCCAGACACAGTAGTCAGAATGAATGCAACCCTGCCCGGTCCAGCCCAGTGTGGAAATAATATAGTTGAAGATGGAGAGCAATGTGACTGTGGGTCCCCCAAATTATGTGTAAATAACCCATGCTGTACGGAAGACTGTGTGTTCAAAACTGGTGCTGAATGTGCTTCTGGGTTTTGTTGCAAAGATTGCAAGTTCATACCAACAGGCACAGTGTGTAGAGAAAAGAAAAATGACTGTGACCTTCCAGAGTGGTGCAATGGAACGTCACCTGAGTGTCCAGAAGATGTGTACGTGGCAGATGGAAGCCCATGCAGGGGTAGTGGTTATTGCTATAATATGTCATGTCTTAAACGTGAAGAACACTGCTGGAGGCTTTTCGGCAAGAAAGCCAAGAGTGCAAAGGAGATTTGCTACAAGGAAATGAACAAACGGGGTGACCGTTTTGGTAACTGTGGTAATGACAGCTTCAACTACAGAAGATGTGCTGATGCTGATGTACTCTGTGGACGAATTCAGTGTGACAATGTACAACAGATTCCAAATAGGAGCAGCCATGAGACAGTGCTTTGGACTCACTTCATGCATGAAACCTGCTGGAGTATAGACTTTCATTTTGGAATGACAATAGAGGACAGTGGAGCAGTGAGAGATGGAACACCTTGTGGTCAAAGTAAAATATGCATTAAGAGGAAGTGTGTCCCTCGGTCTATTTTGTTTAATAACTGTACAGTATACTATTGCAATATGAATGGAGTCTGTAACAATAAACGTCACTGCCATTGTAATGCCAAATGGGAGCCACCAGACTGTAATCTAACTGGCTTTGGAGGTAGTATAGACAGTGGACCACCTCCAAGGATATATTTTAAGAAGAAGCCCAAGGAGAGTCAGTTCACACTAGTTTTTTCAATTCTTTTTTTGGCTTTGTTATTTTCCTTGATTTTCCTAATTACAAAAGTAAAATCACACCACAAACTCGAAGTAGAAGAAACACCAGGACCTGAACTTGGACCTGAACCTGGACCTGGACCTGAAACTGAACCTGGACCTGAACCTGAACCTGGACCTCAATCTAAACCTGAACCTGAGCCTAAACCTCAATCTAAACATGGACATGGGGACACAAAAATCAAAAAACAAAAGAAGAAATAAATGTTTGCTCTTTAGAAAATTCATCATGTATTAGTGTGTAGACTTCAGAACACAGAAATGTCTCTCTGTGTGTAAAAAATTCCCAGACCAGAAATTCTGGAGTCCTCCTTCTTTGAAGATCAAAACCATCCACCACCAAATAAAAGGATGTGCTACCACACTCACAATTTTTTTATTATAATCAAATTGTTGCCTTATTTTCAATTGAATTGCTGTATGTCAGCCATTTGCATAGGTCCAACCCAAGGTCTTCTGCATGTGTTTCTTTGCACCTGTTTCTGCTCCAAGTACCTTTCCCTTTCCATTCTGCTGCATCACATGGAGAAAGGGAACCTCCAAATCCCATTTCATCCTAGCAATTGCTGTCTGCTAGAAACTGCCTCTTGGAGGGCCAGAGTGAGGTTTGAAACTTGAGAGAACGATTTGAGGTCCCTGGCCTGGTTGCTGCATCTCAACTCTCATCTTGATGGCATCAGTAGATCTCACTCTACAGACGATTTTCACACAGATTAGCAAACTCACCAACAGATCTGTTCTAGTTAAGGTTACTCTTGCTAGTATGAAACACCATTACCAAAGCAAGTTGGGATAGAAAGGATTTATGTGACTCTCATTTCCTTTTGACTATCCATCATCTGAGAAGGTCAGGAACTCTAATAGGGAGGAACCTAGACTCAGGAATTGAGGCATAGGCCATGGAGGAGTATTGCTTGCTTGCTTACTCCTCCTGATTTTCTCTGACTGTTTTCTTTTAGAACCAAGGATCAAAAGCCCAGAAGTGGTACCACCATAAAAGGGTAGGGCAATCCCCCATGAATCACTAAATGAGAAAATGTGTTATAGACTTGTCTACAGCCTAATCTAATGCAGGTATATCCTCAATCAGGGCTTCCCCTGCTCACGTGACTATATCTTGTATCAGCTTAACATAAATTTAGCCAGTACAATGCCATTGTCAGCTGCAGAGAGTCAGCATACCTATGAAACACAACACCAAGTATTATGATCTCTGATCTCTGAGCCCCGTACTGCTTCCAGACATGACTACACCAAATATCGCCTTGGATATTATCCTCAAACAGATTCAAAGCCATGAACAACTATTCATACCTACATCCAATTGATAACTACTTGCAGTGTAGAGAACCACACATTCCAGTCAATATGCTTGGTCAGTTCCAGGATGAGTGTTTCTAATGATGGAGATATACAACACTACTCTTATGCTGAAATCTGAGGATCACCATTTCCATTTACTAATATGAAAAGATAATTTAACCTTGGGTATTATTTCCTTTAAATCTATGACCAAAAAGGCAAATCCTAATAATCAATAATTAATCACATTCATTACAAAATGAAATCATGAATATACTGACAAATTTGTGTCAGGCATTGGTGGCTCATGCCTTTAATCCCAACACTCCAGAGGCAGAGGCAGATGCAGGCAGATCTCTGTGAGTTAGAGGCCAGTCTGGTCTACAGAATGAGTTCCAAGACAAACTCCAAAGCAATACAGAGAAACCCTATCTTGAAAACCAACATGGAGGGCCTCACCCTCCCTGGGGATCCGGGTGGAGATTGGGTGCAGGACTGGGGATGCCTGGTGGGGAGGGCAGCGTAGGAAGGGAGGGAGAAGGAGCTGCAATTGGCATGTGAAACAAGCTTATTTCTAACTTGATTTTTTTAAAAAAGGGAAGATAAAAACATCGGTACCCCTACTATATACAGATGATAAATGGGCTGAGAAAGAAATCAAAGAAACATCGCCCTTTACAATAGCCACAAATAACATAAAATATCTTGGGGTAACTCTAATCAAATGAGTTAAAAACATTTATCACAAGAACTTTGAGTCTTTAAAGAAAGAAATTAAAGAAGAAATAAAAAAATGGAAAGATCTCCCATGTTCTTTGTTTTAGGTAGGATCAATACAGTAAAAATGGCAATCTTGTCAAAAGCAATCTACAGATTCAATGCAATCATCATCAAAATCCCAGCACAATTCTTCACACACCTTGGAAGAATAATACTCAAATTTATGTGGAAAAGCGAAAGGCCCAGAATAGCCAAAACAACCCTGTACAATAAAGGAACTTACAGAGGCATCACCATCCCTGACTTCAAGCTCTATTATAGAGCTATAGTCCTGAAAACAGCTTGGTATTGGCACAAAAATAGACACATAAACCAATGGAATCAAATTGAAAATCCTGATATTAACCCACACACTCAAGAGAGACATGGTCCCTTGAAGAAGGGGAAAGGGGCAAGATCTCCCGAGCAAATTTGGAACACTGGGGGGGTTGAGGAGAGGGAGTTAGGAGATAGAAAAGGGGAGAAGAGGAGGAGGGAGGAGGGCATGAGGGAACAGGAAGATTGAGTGTGGGGGGGGGGGGAAATAGAGGAGAGAAAGAAATGAGATACCTTAATTAGAGGAAGCCATTATAGGTTTAAAGAGACATCTAGCACTAAGAAAATGTCCAAATATCTACAAGGATGATGCCAACTAAGAATCTAATAGTGGAGAAGGTACCCTAAATGCCATTCTCTATAATGAGATTGATGGCTACATTATATACCATCATAGAGCCCTCATCCAGTAGCTGATGGAAGCAGAAGCAGAGACCCACAGCTAAGCACTAAGCTGAAGTCCTGGAATCCAGTTTTAGAGAGGGAGGAGTGATGAGTAAATGAGTCAAGACCAGGCTGAGGAAACTCACAGAAACAGCTGACCTAAACAAGGGGGATCTCATGGACCCCAGAATGACAGTTGGGAAACCAGTAAAGGACTGAACCAGACCACCTAAAAGAGGGTGTCAGTTAGGACACATGGGCAGTCTATGGTAGTGGAACAGTATTTATCCCTAGTGTACAAACAGACTTTGGGAGTCCATTCCCAATAGAGCAATACTCCCTCAGCCTATACACATGGGAAAAGGCCTAGGATCTGCCCCCAAATGATGTGACAGATTTTGATGATTCCCCCATGGAAGGCTTCATCCTCACTGTGGAGCAGAAAGGGGATAAGATAGGGGATTGGTGGGGGTATGGGAGGATGGAAGGGAGAGGCAAGTGGGTTGATGTATAAAATAAGATGGTTTCTATTTTAAATTTAAAAATTCCAAAAAGGAAAAAAATAAGAACTGGTTCTTTGAGAAGATAAGCAAAATCGTCAGATCCTTCACCCAATTCATCCAAAGAAAGTAAGGACCCCAATTTTAATGGACTCATAAGTAGAGAGGGAAACATTACAGGGTACATTGAAGAAAATGATGGCAAAAAAATACCAATCTCAGAATAAGTTTGCTTTTCCATATAAAATTGATTATTGTTCTTTCAAGGTCTGTGAAGAATTGTGCTGGTGTATTAATGGGGATTGCATTGAATCTGTAGATTGCTTTTGGCAGGATTGCCATTTTTACTACATTGATCCTACCTATCCAAGTCCATTGGAGATCAAAAGACCCAGGATAGGCAAAACAACTTTACTCAACAATGCAACATCTGGAGGCATCACCATCCCCAACCTCAAAATCTATTATAGAGCTATAGTCCTGAAAACAGCTTGGTATTGGCACACAAATAGGCAGGTAGACCAATCGATCGAACTGAACACCCTGACATTAACCCATACATGCATGAACATCTGAACTTTGACAAAGAAGCTAAAAATATACAATGGAAAATAGAAAGCATCTTTAACAAATGATGCTGGAATAACTGGAGGCTGGCATGTAGAAGAATGCGGATAGATCCATGTCTATCACAATGCACAAAACCTAAGTTCAAATGGATCAAAGATCTCAACATAAATCCAGCCACACTGAACCTCTTAGAAGAGAAAGTGGGTGGTACCCTTGAACAAATTGGTACAGGAGACGGCTTCCTGAACATAACACCAGTAGCACAGACAGTGAGATCAACAATTAATAAATGGGACCTCCTGAAACTGAGAAGCTTCTTTAAGGCAAAGGAAACAGTAAGAAACACAAAAATGCAGCCCACAGAATGGGAAAAGATATTCACTAACCCCACATCTGACAGAGGGCTGATCTCCAAAATTTACAAAGAACCCAAGAAACAAGTCTTCAAAACAACAAAGGATCCAATTAAAAGGTGGGCTACAGAAATAGAGAATTCTCAATAGAGGAGTCTAAAGTGGCTGAGAAGCACTTAAGAAAGTGCTCAACATTCTTAGCCCTCTGGGAAATGCAAATCAAAACAACTCTGAGATACCATCTTACTCCAGTCAGAATGGCTGAAATAAAAAACACCAATGACACTTTATGCTGGAGAGGTTGTGGTGAAAGGGGAACACTCCTCCATTGCTGGTGGGAGTGCCAACTTGTACAGCCACTTTGGAACAGTATGGAGATTCCTCCGAAAAATGGGAATAAACCTACCACAACACCCAGCAACTGCACTCTTAGGCATATATCCAAAAGATGCCCATTCATACAATAAGGATGTCTGTTCCACTATGTTCGTAGCAGCATTATTTCTTTTTTTTTATGATCCACAACCTTTATTTTATACTCTTAGCTAACAGTGTGATAACATGGGAAACAAATGCAACAAAGGAAAGAACAAAATAAAATAATAATGTAACAAGCACCAGAGTTAGGGGGGAAGCGTCTCTCTCCACCTGTGCCTAGCATAAGCAATGGCACTCAGAAAGCATTTAAAGTACAGGTATGATTTTTTCAAGTCATTTACCAACACACTAAAGTCATGGTATATTTATGCATTTTCTTAGTTAACAGATCCCAGAAATATGAGTGTTAGCAGATCAAGCAGCATTATTTCTAATAGCCAGAACTTGGAAGCAACCTAGATGCCCCTCAACCGAAGAGTGGATAGAGAAAATGTGGTATATTTACACAATGGAGTGCTATTCAGCAGAAAAAAACAATGGAATCCTGAAATTTTCAAGCAAATGGATGGCACTAGAAGAAACCATGCTGAGTGAGGTAACCCAGTTACAAAAAGAGAAACATGGCATGTACTCTCTCATATATGGATTCTAGCATAGATCTGGGGAGTGCCAGCCTACAATCCCATGGCCAGAGAGTCTGGGAAACAGAACCTTCATTCAGTGGCTGATGGAAGCAGAGGCAGACTCCCATTGCTGAGCACGGAGCTGAACTCAAGAAATCCAGTAACAGAGAGGGAGGACTGGTGACCAAAGGAGTTAAGACTGGGCTGGTTTAACCCCCAGAAACAGCTGACCTGACAAGGGTTACCTCTTGATTCCCAGACTGAAGCCTGGGAATACAGCATGAGGCTGATCAAGACCCCCTGAATGTGGGTGTCAGTGAGGAGGCCTAGGTAATCTATTTAGTCTTGGATAGTAGATCAGCATTTATTCCGGGTATACAAATGGACTTTGGACTCCCATCCAACAATGACAGATGCACTCTCACCCTGGACTCTTGGGGGAGGGTCTAGGCCCTGCCCTGGATGAAGTGGCAAACTATGGATACCCCCAGGCACACACCTTTAATCCCAGTAGTCAGATGCTAGGAGGATTCAGAATGGATAGATCTCTCTGAGTTCAAGAACACTTAGATCTACACCAGAGTGAATCAGTCTAAAAGAGAATTACAGGTCACACCTTTAATCCCAACATTAGGGGTGTATATAAAACAGAAGCAAGTTCTCAGTTGAGGAATCATTCTCCAACCACATTGAGAATGGCAGTTTGAGGCTTGGTGAGGTGTTCATGAATCAGCCCTTTCTGCCCTAGCTAGAATAAGAAGCTAGTGGCCAACTGCTTTGCTTTTCTGATATTTAACATGACATTTGAACCTAAATATCAGTCTCTGGGTCATTTATTTTTGTGTTACACATGATCAGAGATCACTGTGTGAACATGAAGAAAAGATTCTATAAGCCAGAGGTGATACATGACTTCAAGGAAACATCATTTTCCAAATACAACAGGACAGACATGTATGAGCTCATAGAAATGGTAAGGAAAAGGCCTGCACAAGTTCAATCCAGACAGAACCCCTATAATAAGAAATGAGCACCAAGTCCCACCCCTGATAAACATGACCAATATATATTGTATTAAAATTTTCACAAAAAAAGGTAAAAAAAATAAAACATGCCAAGCCATGTACTTATTTGAAGCAAAAATTGCAGGGAAACACCAAAAAATCAATGTTCTTCAATGGAGTGAAACTATGTAAATCAACCACACTCACTGACTCTCTCACTCCACAGCAGACAAGGATCACATCTAGTATGGCAAGCACAAAGCAGACTTCAAGGTTTTTAGTGTCACTTTCTTTGTGTTTCACTTTTGCTGTTTTGTTTTAAAAAAGAAAACAAACATGAACTTAGGTGGGTGGGAAGAGGGGATGAATCTAGGAGTAGTCACAGAACAGGAAAGAATGTAATAATATATAAAGTATAAAATTCTCAAAGAAAATAGTGATAAAAAAGATGGAACCGTCAATGAAATGCACAGGTAGGCCACCAAGTCCCAAATATTAGCAATCTTAATCAGCAAACAAATGTGTTCCCACCATTTACTCTCATCAACCCATGAAATGCATGGCTGTCAGATTGATGTTTTATCAATTATCAGTTAGTTCACTGCAAAGGAAATTTACCCTACACTGTTCCTCACCTCTTCTAAATTCATTTCTAGCATGAGTTTAATAACCGCTGTATGACATAGACAATGAATCTACACGAGCAAATGTTCTATGTCCCTGTGACAGTCATTGACCACGGGAAGATGCAACTAATGGCAGACACTCATTTCCTTAAGAGTATTTTTTTAAAGGAGTGGAATTATTGTCTACAATTTGAAGTGCTTTGAGTATCCCTTATTAGAGTCAATACAAAGTAAATAAATAGGAACAATGATTACAATATAAACAAAAATGAAGAGTTCAGCTGATTTTACAGTGTGTAAGTTAGGAAATAGAATTGATTTATGCTAGAGATACTGGAGCATGGCATATGACAGTAGGGAAATGAGAGTTATTGACAATGAAGAGCAAATCCAAATCACTTTGGTAGAAGTGGTAGAGGAAACATTGGAAAGAACCTTACCAGTTGCCAGGTTCTGTTAAATGTGAGGCTCCTGTTGCTAGGTTCATGAATCTAGAACTTACTCCATAGGCAACAAAGGATTTATACTCCATTGAGCATTCTCAAACAAAAATCTTTGTTCTTAAGATGGGTTTTAAAAATATTTTGTAAGAAAGACCATAGGAACACATGCATCACTTTACCTGATGGTAAGTCTTTAGAAGATTCAGGGAGAGACAAAAGTATAAATATTTAGAAGGTGAAAGAATATTTCCCCTAATTCCTGGACAATTGTTCATAATTTGGGATGGAATTTCCTTTAAATATTCCCACTCTCTTCAATTTTATGATGGAGACTCTAGAGCTCTTAGTGTGAATCAATACATCTTACATTATAGAGTGCGTGGGTGGTAAGTTGGCTACCTATTGATGATTTGAAGCTCATGGGAGAAAAAACTGGTGGTAAAAGATGATATTTTAGAGATAACATGAAATCTAGATTGTTATAGTTGTACCAAATTTTGGATAAAAAAAATGTATCATTTCGCTAGAGTTCTGGATGCTTTAATCATTTTCTCCAGTAATTTAGTAAATGCAAGATTCAACTTGCTCAATTATTCTCTAAGTTTTATTTTTAACCTGTCTACTTCTATAGTTTTAGTCACTAATTCTGACATATTTTTCTTGGTGCAATACCAAAAATGGTAGCTGCATTTTCAATAAATAATCCTTTTCTCTACACCAGAATTATACTTGCCATATTAATTATCAAATCTAAATCAAAGTATTTTTGGATAGTGACTTAGTATGTCAAGGTTTTAATCATGGTTTCATGCTACTCTCCTTAAATGACTTGTATTGCTTAATTAACTTTTCAAAAGATAACAAACTATAGATGATGGTGCCAAATAGGAGAGATCACTCATTTGGTAAAGTGAATGTTCTGATAGAATACAGACATGAAAATAAAATCCTAAAACCTATGTAAAAAGCCAGGTTGAGGGCCTGTGTATGCAATGCCAGAAATGATGAGACAGAGATAAGCACGTTGCTAAGGGTTGCTGGCAAGTCATTCTTCCCTCTTTGTGAGCATGATGCCCATGACCAACTTTATGTCAAAAGCCAATTTGGATGAGCAATGCTACCCAAGGCTAATTATTGGCTTCTCTTGACACACACACATGAATATACACACACTCACACAAACACAAATACAAATACATGCACAAATATACATACATGCACACATGCTTACATAAATACAAGCAAACAAACAAATAACCAATCAATAAAAAATAAAATACTAAACTGTAGCATTAACTGCACAAACAGGAGGATTCACTAGCAAGGATCAACTGTGACCTCAAAACACATATTGACATGCACACAGGGTTCTCCTTCACACTATTGTACATAGTCACATGCAGTAAGATTTTAAGAAAAATGGAAAATAGAAATGAGAATAATTTACCTGAGAGAAGTTTCTGCCACCAACAACAATAACAAGGCAATGACAGAAAGAAGCATACAAATGTACTCAATGAGCATGACAGTGTTAGAAGAGGGTTAAAATTTATAGTGTGTGTGTGTGTGTGTGTGTGTGTGTGTGTGTGTGCGTGCACGCTCGCTCGCACACACCCACGAGGACAATTTCATTTCCCACTAAGGAAATCTACAGTTGGTGTTGAGGAAAGGTTGAAAATTAGAACATTCAGAAACAATGTGAAAATGAGAGCAAGTTATCAAAAAATTGTAAGTATATTACTAAGAGCTGGGAGAGTCCTGGAAACTATTTGTAGTGAGACAAAGTATACTTTACTAACAACTAAAAAATAATAATCCAAGCACAGTGTTGAAACCCCTTGGGAAAAAAAGACTAATTGAACTTAGCCTGTTCTCTGTTCTTTTCTTCTCTAACCTGATTTGCTTCTGACATATGTATGGCCATGACTGCCCCTCTTTTCCCTGTTTCTTTCAGTTCTGATGCTCTGATCGTTCAACTCTGCCAGAAGACACATTACAAAAGGCCAGTGCTGCATACAACCTGACAAACTGAGGTCTAGGAGAGCAAGCCTTCTCATGATCCCCCTTTGTTCTCTAACAGGACATAGTGTCTGTGGGTGAGGCCCTGGCCCACGAGAGGATCATGGTCCTTCAACTCTGCCTGTGGATCGTGCTCTTCCTCTCCACATGGGCTCCAACTACACATGCTGAGTACAGTAGCCCTCCAGAAGTAGTGATACCCCTGAGGGTCACTGATACTAGGATCCATAGTAGTTCTCCAGACTGGTTGTCCTATAGCCTGCGCTTTGGAGGAGAGAGACATATTATTACCATGAAACCCACAAAATACTTCATATCCAGAAACTTCCTACTGTTAACCTACACTGACCAAGGTGATCTCCTTGCTGAACAGCCTTTTGTGCAGACTGACTGCTACTACCAGGGCAATGTAGATGGAGACCCAGATTCCATGGTGATTATTAATACCTGTTTGGGGGGTTTGCAAGGCATGTTAGAGATAAATGGCACGGTTTATGAAATCATGCCCCAGAAGTCAACTTCCACATTTGAACACCTTGCTTACAAAATAGAGAGTGAGGACTCAGAATCATTTTCTATGAGATGTGCGTTAACAGAAGAGGAGATAGCACGACAAAAGAAGATTCAAGAAAGCAAAGACCCCATACTTATGCAAAGCCAATATGAGAACTGGTGGACCCATCACAAATATCTTGAATATTTTGTGGTGATAGATAACAAACGATATGTTTATAGAAACAATAATATCACAACTTGTATTCATGACATTTTGCAAATAGTCAATGGAATAAATGGTTATTATCTTCAAATAGATATTGAGGTGATTTTAACTACACTTCAAGTGTGGAGTGAACAAAATCACATCAATGTAGAAGAAAATATATATAGTGTCCTAAATAGTTTCTGCAGTTGGAAGCAAAGAAACATTGGCAATCAAATTAGATATGATATCATACATCTTTTTCCCAGGCAAGGCTATGGTATCTATTTAGGGCTAGCTCATCTAGGTACACTTTGTTCACGTTATAATTGTGCTGTTAACAGTTTTGCATCTGATTCAATAGCAGAATTGGCATTCGTTTTAGCACATGAGATGGGTCACAATTTGGGTATGCATCATGATGACCGTGATTGTACTTGTGGGATAAGCAGCTGCATAATGGCCGCACACAAATCTAATTCCCATAGATTCAGCAACTGCAGTTATGCATATCTCTATGACACTATTACCAGAAAAACCTGTTTGCACAATTTTCCAGAGGAAGTCGTCGGCTCAAACCTGACCTGGTGTGGGAATAATATAGTAGAGGAGGGGGAGCAGTGTGACTGTGGGTCCCCTCAATTATGTGAAAATGACCCATGCTGTAGGCCAGACTGTGCGTTCAAACCTGGTGCTGAATGTGCTTTTGGACTTTGTTGCAAAGATTGCAAGCTCATTCCCACAGGCACAGTGTGTAGAAAGCAGAACAATGAGTGTGACCTTCCAGAGTGGTGCAATGGAACTTCAGCTAAGTGCCCAGAAGATGTGTACGTGGAGGATGGACATCTCTGCAGTGGTAGTGGTTATTGCTATAAAAGCGTATGTCATAAACATGAGAAACATTGTCAAACAATTTTTGGCAAGGGAGCCAAGAGTGCCAATGAGATTTGCTACATGGAATTGAACAAACGGGGTGACCGTTTTGGTAATTGTGGTAACAATAGCTATAACTACATACAATGCAATAGCAACGATGTACTCTGTGGACGAATTCAGTGTGAAAACATAACAGAGCTTCCCCATACGGGAAAACATGAAACAGTACATTGGACTCACATCAAAAATGTCACCTGCTGGACTGTGGACTACCATTTTGGCATAACCAAAGCTGACATTGGGGCAGTGAAAGATGGCACTCCTTGTGGTCTAGACCATTTATGCATTGACAGGAAGTGTGTCAATAATTCTTTTTTGTTAAGTAACTGTTCAGCAACCCATTGCCATAAGAGAGGAGTCTGTAACAACAAACATCACTGCCATTGTGATGTCAGATGGGAGCCACCAGACTGTAGGGTAAGAGGTTTTGGAGGTAGTATAGACAGTGGACCACCTCCAGGGAGATTCTCAAAATCCACTCGGGGTAAATATTTGGCATTTTTTTTAATTCTTTTTGTGGTTTTGTTACTTTGCTTAAGTGGCCTAATGAAGAGGATTCAATATTCCTTAAACTAAAATGACAGGGAGTGCCACGAGCAGAACCCACATCTGGTGTTAAAATTTCACCTGAAAAACAAAACTGCAACCTTGAATGTTTGCCTGCAGAGGAAGATGCCAAAGACTAAAAGAAAACACAAAGGAAAGAATAAAAAATATGTATCCTATAAGAATTCCTTTATGTATTAATGTGTATACTTCTGAAAATAGGAATAACACTGTGTGTGCATGTGTGAAATCCCAGGCTAGAAGTTCTGTTTGAATATCAAAAACATTCACCACCAAATAACAAGGTCTTAGTATATTCATACTTTTCTTTAGTTTAGGCAATTTCTTGCCTTGTTTTTGATTGAATTGATGCTGGTCACCCACTAGCTTAGGCCCAACCCATGGGCATATATATTTGTTTTCTTGTATTTAGTTTACCTCAGCTCTAAACTGCTACCCCTCAACATTCTGCTTTGTCACACAGAGAGGAAGAAACCTCCAAATATTATTTCCTAATGGCAAAATCCTGTCCACAAAAACCTGCCCCTCAGAGAGCCAGGGTGGGATTGGAAATGTAGGAGAATGTTTTCAGTTCTTATCATGGCTGCTATAGCCTCTTCGCTCAAGTGAATTCTATCAGTAGTTCTTGCTCTGCTGGAGATTTTTAGCAGTTTTCAAAACCACCCAGCACAACTGTCCTAGTCAGGGTTCCCATTGCTGTAAGGAAACACCATGATGAAAGAAACTTGGAAAGGAAAGTATTTATTTGGCTTTACACTTTCTTATCACTTTCCATCACTGAAGGAAGATATCTGGAAATCTCACTAGTGCCACATCTCTCCTCAAACCTATAGTGGCTCCCTCTGTATAGTATCTCTCACCCTGCCCTCCCCTACTCTCCCCACTATTAAACCTTGTTGCTCCCCCATGTCCTCCTCTCCCCTCCTCTTCGACCTCTCTCTTTCTCCCAGCTCCTTCTCTCCTCTTCCCATGCTCCCATTCCCCTCAGGAGATCCGGTTCCATTCCCCTTCTCTGGGGTACCATGCATATCTCTCTTATGGTCCTCTCTCATACCCAGACTATCTGGCATTGGGATTGTATGCTGACACTCCCCTGTTTCATGTCTAAAATCCATATATGGGTGAGTTCATACCATGTTTGTCTTTTTGTGACTGGGTTACCTCACTCAGGATGGTTTTGGTTACCTTACTCAGGATGGTTTCTTCTAGTGTCATCCATTTGCCTGCAAATTTCAGGATTCCATTGGTTTTTTTTCTGCTGAGTAGTACTCTATTGTGTAAATGTACCACATTTTCTCTATCTACTCTTCAGTTGTGGTTCATTTAGGTTGCTTCCAGGATCTAGATACTACATATAATGCTGCTATGAACATAGTGGAACAGACAGCCTTGTGTGAATGGGAAATTTTGGGGGTATATGCCTAATAGTGGAACTGCTGGGTCTTGCGGTAGACTGAATTCCATTTTCCTGAGGAATCTCCATATTCATTTCCAAAGTGGCTTACAGCCCAGTCTTACAGGGACATTTTCTCTATGAAGGCTTCCTCCACTCAGATAACTACTCCATTTGCCAGGGTGACAAAAGTCTATGTAGCATAGCACCATTGTCATCTCTAGGGATTCAGCACAACTGCAAAAACATCACACCTGTAATTATGAGCTCAGTTCTCCAGGAATTTCAGCATCCAAGTTTGTCCATAGAGATTAGCCTCCCGAAGCCATGGAATGGCCTTCAGAACCCTGAACAGCTATCCATACCTTCTTCCCTTTGATGTCCAACCCCAATGTAGAGAACTGCACCATCCAGTTAGCAGCCTTGGTCAACACAGGCAATGACATTTCTAATTATGGAATAGTGGCCCATGTTAGACCTATGCTGAAACCAGAATTCCCCCACTTGCCTTTACCAATGTGGGAAGACAATTCAAGCTTGGGTATAATTTCCTTAAAATGTCTAACAGAAAATCATAGACCCCGACACTCAATTCTTGGTCAACTTTTCTTGACTATAAAATGAGATTAAGAAGACATTCACAAAGTTGTATTGAAATAAATAAATATCAGCAAATGCTATTTTCTTATGAAATGAAATTAAAATCCTGTGCTAAACTTTAAAAACCCAATTTTAAAGGCAGACAGGATCCTGTCCTCAAAACAGTAACTGGGGCTAATCTGACCACTCAACCTTACTGTAGCCAAGCTTTATAGATTTAGTGCCAAATACTACCCTATCTGCATGCACTGCAGCTGAAATCTCAATAAAAACGGTAAAAGCCAGGAAAGCTCCAACAAATGAAATCCAAGTCCTAAAATGCTAGGATTGCCAATCTAGAATAATATAACTTTGAAATACCATCTTGCTCCTGTCACACTGGCTAAAATAAAAAACATCAATGACAATTTAGGCTGGAGAGGATGTGGAGAAAGCAGAACACTCCTCCACTGCTGGTGGGATTGGAAACTCGGACAGCCACTTTGGAAATCAGTATGGTGGTTCCTCAGGAAAATGGGAATTACTCTACCACAAGATCCAGCAATTCCATTCTTAGGCATATAGCCAAAAGATGCACATTCATACAACAAGGACATCTGTTCAACTATGTTTATAAAGCACTAATTGTAATAGCCAGAACCTGGAAGCAACTAGTTGTCCCTCAACTGAAGAATAGATAAAGAAAATGTGGTACATTTACACAATGTAGTGCTACTCTGCAGGAAAAAAAAAAACAAAAACAATGGAAGCTTGAAATTCACAGGCCAATGGATGGCACTAGAAGAAATGATACTGAGTGAGGTAACCCAGTCACTAAAAGACAAACATGGTATGTACTCACCCATATATGAATTTTAGACATAGAGCAAAGGATTACTAGCCTACAATCCACACCTCCAGATAAGCTAGGAAACAAGGAGGACCCTAAGAGAGATATACATGGTCCCCCAGTGAAGGAGAAAGAGACAAGATCACCTGAGTAAATTGGGAGCATGGGGGGAGGGGAGAGGGAGTCAGGAGAAAGAGAATGGGAGAAGGCAGGGAGGACATGAGGGAGCAGGAAGATTGAGTTAGGGGAAGAATAGAGGAGGGCAATGAAAGAGATACCATACCAGCGGGATCCATTATAGGTTTAAAGAGGAATCTGGCACTAGGGAAATGTCCAGAGATCTACAAGGATGATGCTAACAAATGCTCTAAGCAGTAGAGGAGAGGCTACCTTAAATGCTCTTTCCCTATAATGAGGTTAATGCCTACCTTATATGCTATCCTGGAACCTTCACCCAGTAGCTTAAGGAAGCAGAAGTAGGTACCCACAGCTAAACACTGAGCTGAACTCTGGAATCCAGTTGTAGAGAGGGAGGAGTAAAGAGCAAAGAGGTCAAGACCAGGCTGGGAAAACCCACAGAAAAGAGTTGATCTGAACAAGGAGGAGCTCATAGACCCCTGGCTGATAGCTAGGAAACCAGCATAGGACCCACCCAGACCCCCCGAACATGGGTGTCAGTTAGAAGGTCTGGGCAATCTATGGGGCCTCTGTTCGTGGATCAGTATTTATGCCTAGTACACAAATGGACTTTGAGAGTCCATTTCACATAGAGGGATATTCTCTCAACCTAGACACATGAGGGAGGGCCTAGGTCCTGATCCAAATGATATGATAGACTTTGCAGATCCCCCATGGAAGGCCTCACCCTCCCTAGGGAGCAGAAAAGAGATATTATAGGGGTGAGGGGGCAGGGTTGCAGGGGAGGGAGAGGGACAGGGAAATGGGATTGACATGTACAACAAGCTCGTTTCTAATTTAAAGGAAAAAAAGAAATAGTATACGAAGAAATAACAAGCTTAATTGACAACATGCATCAAAATCGACTTAACACATATCTGCAGGATATTGTACCCAAACACCAAAAAACATAGACATTCTTCTCATCGGCACATGAAAGTACTGGAGAGCAACCCAAGACTTTCTCACTTTCTTACAAGGCCCGATGAAAAGATAAATGGAACTTTAGTTTTGTTTCCTTGCCCACCTTGGCTGGTCCCAAGACCTCAAAGGAAAAAAGTAGTCAGTTCCTAGGAACTGGGCTTTCCCCCTGAAAGTCTGTGGTTATCAGTCCCAAAGCTGCTCTATACTTGTCTGTGACACACTTGAGATAACCTGTATTGCCTTTACACTGCACTGCTTGATAATCCTCCTGTTGATTCTATCTCATTCTGTGACAGTTTTCTGCTGACTCTGTCCATGTTTCCTACTGCAGCTAGTACACTAAACGATGCTGCTTAATAAACTTGCGGGCATGAGCCATCAGCTTCTACAGTCCTCATGATCCCAGCTTTCCGTTCTGGTCCTGTTTATTTTGTTATCCCTTGTTCTCCCCCATTGAAAGCTCTCAATTCTGAAGCTTCACTCATGCTGGTTCAAGTCACTGAGGCTTTTCTACTGCAATGGGGGACACAAAGCAAATAATTACAAATTCTATGATAACAAATCACTCAGTGTATCATATCTGATTTATGATAAGGCTGACCAACCAGAGTTCTACTGACTTTTACTAACTAAAGGTACTTTACAAACTCACTTTCCTATATCTTGAAAAATAAAGGACCCAGAGATGGATATTGGGGTTGAAGCTTCAAGCTGAAAATCAGAAAAGCAAAGCAGTCACTCTTAATTCTACCTCAGCTCAGACCAAAGGCAATCTTCAAACTGCTCCTGACTTCCCTGCTCCTCAGACTCACTCAGACTGCTATGCTCCCCTCAGTGAAGCAACAGACTAATTCTGATACTGACTACTGAAGACCGTGATCCTATCTTTTATTTCTCTCTAGTGCTGAGATTAAAGGTATGAGCTCTGTTACTCCTTTAGACTGATTCAATCTTATGTAGCCCGGGGTTACCTTGAACTCAGAGAGATCCATCTGCCTTTGTCTCCTGAGTCCTGGGATTAAAGGTGTGTGCCACCACTGCCTGATCTCTATAGCTTGAGGCTGTTTGCTTTCTGAATCTCCAGGCAAGCATTAATAAATCATAAACAATACATCACCACACTTTCCTTAGCTTGCAGGGAGATCTTTTCATGTGTAGGTCAGGTAATCCTGATTTCTATAAGAAAGCAAGCTCAGCAAGTCATTAAGAAGCAGGGAACACTTTGGACCAACAGCCGGGGA